TGTCTCTCTGTACCTGCAATGAGAACTGCCGGACCGGTGTTGCGGCCGATCTGGTTCGGCAGGTAAATTGTGATTTCCTGTTAGATTTCTGTTATTAGAACTACCTGTTTTGCTCTGGCCCATGCGACGTAGCGCATCTGCACTGGTCCCTGGTTGGTCATCGTCCCTTGCATGTTCGATGAACAGCGCTGCCTCCTCGGCGGTTAACTGGTCCAGGAAACTGCCTTTCCGCCCAGCACTTCTTGGGCCTTCCCTCGCGCTGCTGTTTCTTGGCGTCTCCAGTACCTTAGTTGTAGCTAGCTGTTGTTGTGGCTGTCGAGTTTTGTGTTTTTTTGGTTTTTTGGTTGTTTTTTTGTTGTTTTGACATCATCTTGTTCGTACGACCACCTGCTCGACGAGGCGAGCTCAGTGGTCTAAATTTTCATAGGGGATCTTCAGAAGTCCGCCGCGCCAGCGCCCCTTGTCGCGGTAAGGCCACCGTTACTCCCCGATGCGGCCCGGTGTCGGAAAGGCGCCGTTCGAATACAGCCGGATTAAACCCTCCTGGCTGCAAACCGTCCAATAGGCACGGTGTCGCTTAACATCCTGGATTAGGAGGTGGCAGTTCTTGGTCACTGTTCTCCAGCAGCCCAAGTCTAGAGAGAAGGTAGCGCGGAGGTCTGCACATCCGCGTTACCTCAAACCAGAAGAGGGCTGGTTGGTGATGCAGCTAAGCCCCCGCACCAACGACAAGGTGCCTGCCCTAGCGAGGGAGGATTAAGATCGTAAGTGTATCCTGTCTTCGAGTCACATCGCATCCAAATTTTGATTCCGCGCTTTATGGGTTTCATTGGCATATATTGCTTCATGCTTGATCTACCTTTGAATTTTACCATGCATTCGTCAATAGACTGAAATGAACTTTCACTTCGAGCAGCTGCAAATGTTTGTTTCAGACATTGCACAACATCGGAGATGTAATAATCTCTAGAAGCGTTGGTGGGCTTATCGCAGTCATTAAAATATAACTTTGATGACAATAATAAAAAGCGATCTCGTGATATACAGTTTTTTATAACTGAATTTCCCATCGATGGATTTTTGCTCCAATAGTCCTTCAGAGAAGGCAACTTATTATAATGCATAATTAATGAAACGCCCAGAAATACCAGAATTTCATTCGGATCGGTTAAATTTCGCTTTGACTGAGCCCGGCGATTCAAAGCTGTCAGACGCGGATTAGTACATTCAGCAATTCGAATGCTCAAACTGTAAGGAAATATCGTGGAAAACACTTTGAACTCGGTGCAATCGTGAGCAAAATCGAGAAGAATTTTGCAGTCTCGCTCAGTTGGGATTTCATACTTTGGATTGAAGTTCTGAGAATTATCCGGAGCAACATTTACCCACTGGGCAACAGACAGTATCTCGTCGTTTATCTCTGTAGGCTCAGTGGCCGCATTGATATTATCGTCAGCTTCTGATGCAGATTCAGTGTATTCGGAACTCTCAAGCAAATATTCACTCCCAGAGTCCTCAAAATTAACATCCGAGTCTGACTCTTCAGACATAATACGCTCAAGATCCTCTTGAGTTAGCTTCCTTTTCGCCATCTAAAAAACATATTGGGACAATCAATCCCACGTAAAATACATATTGGGACAATGCATCCCACGTAAAAAACTTATTGGGAGTATATGTCCCAATTTTATAAAATTAATTCTAACTTACCTTATAATAGCAAAAACACCACTAAACAATTTAATGTAACAAACCAAACACTTTTTTATACAAACAAATGCAACTTTTGTTGATCACGCTTCTATTACGACTAATTTCAGCAAATTACCGAAGAAAACTGATCAAATTCCACGTATATTGCGAAATACTTTGTCATGCGGCGTCTATGCGCTGAAATGTACCGCTATGTTTTTGTTTACAATTGAAAATAGGCACTTAAATCTGTGTTTGGGACTAATTATATGAGCAATCGCATGCACAGTAAAGAAAATACGAAAGTTAGAAATTTGGTGGGATGTATTATCCCAGTAGTCCCGAAAGGGTTATAGAAGCTGTGGACACTGGAGTAAAATTTAAACAAAAAAACAAAACCGACTTCAATTCTCATTTACAAATTTAAGAGTACCGTTATTTTCTTCATGGCCCAATTATCGGATCTACACTCAATTAGTAGGAGACTACCTCTGAGGAACCACCTTTCCTTTCAAAAAGAATTATAGAAAACGGATAACGTAGTCCAAAGTTACGCGGTAACATACATAAAAACATATTCCGACGAATTGATAAAATATGCAGATTAATATTTAATAAAGTGTTACGGATATATTTTTTTTAATACAAATTAATTTCTGATATCTATTTTTTTATTTAAAGAACCGCAAGATTGCACTACAAAGCAAATTACATTTTTTTTACTATTGTAACGGGAGAAGTTACTGTATGTATTTTGTGTCGAAGTGGTTTGGCACAGTAAATTTTCGCATTACATATATGCAAAATTTTTAATTTATTTCCGATAATTTTTTATAAAAACATAGTTCATAAAACAGTAAAACACATAAAAATCAAATCTGTAAACTTTGTGCATACTATCTGCATACTAATTTGCAATTTTATATTTTATATTCAGATTTTCAAGCAACTTCAAACCTGCACTTTGATAAACTAAAATTGAATGGATTATTAAACTGCATACTTGGAATTTTTCTAAAAAATACTTTGCCTATATTGCGAAAAATTTACTGTGCCAATACTTTTGTTCGTTACTGTAAGTTTAAGGGTTTATTTACCCTTAACCCTAGAACACACACCCGGGTACAAATGTATCCACTTTCAACTTTGAAGTGTTGTAACTTTTGAACCGCTATACCTCTATTCGGATCTAGGAAGATTATTTAGTTTTGAGTTCAAATTCAAAATTTGAACCAGATCGGACCATTGGTTCTGGAGCTACAGCCTTCCAAACACATTATATACGTAAACACACACCCGGGATACGTTTGTACCCCAATAGTAAAAATCCTCATAATAATACAAAAAAAAACATTTTTTATATTATTTTTTTATTTGAAAAATTAAAAATATTCATTTCACACATTATATTATTGACTTTTATTATAAAAATTATAAAAATGCATCTTATATCTAAGGAAAATCATGGCAAATAGAGCAATTTGTTGATGTGATCGAATGTTCAAGACACATTGGCTTCTTACATTTGTCGCACAGCTTTCTGGTTTTTCTACGGCGTTTTTCCTCTTGTGCGTAACATAAATAGCAAGATCCGGACACAGGTTTTGGCGTGCGCGCTGCGGCAGATGTTGATGCTGCTGTTGACACCATTGATTCCACCGGTCGGTTGAAATATGCTTCAATAGCAATTTTAGTCGAAAAATTTCGCGTCACTTGACGATTTATGGCTCTGGCTTCAATAATGGGCAAACACAATGCTTCAGCCAAGCTGCGCAGGATCTGCTTACGCTTGTTGTTTGTTCTCCAAGGCAACATAGGGTTATTCAAATCGTAGACAATGTAGGCTGCAAGAGCTGTAATGTCCAACATGTTGAAGAACATCGCTAGTGGCCATCGTTTTGTTTGGCTTTGTGTTGGATATTCCGCAAACATTTGGTCCATTCGATCAACACCACCTTTGGTACGATTATAATATTCAATTATTTCAGGTTTCCCACTGTCAGCTATTTCAGCATCATTATGCATGGTCGAAAGCAAAATTACTGCTTTATTTTTTTTGGGAACATAAGAGCACATTGTCACATTATTTTTGAAGCCAAATGTCGTTGAACCAATTGTCCTGTTTTTGTTCTGCTTCATTTCTTGAGGAATATATGATTTGTTTTTGCGCA